AGAAAGCATTTACGGCAGCAAGAAGTGATTTTTAAGAGTTCAATCGAGCCTACTTAAATGGTTTACCGACTTTCTCACAGGCAGATCTTACTGTGTCTATATTGAGAACATCAAATCGGAGTGGGTAACCGTTCTGAGTGGCGTTCCATAGGCGAGCGTTTTCAGCTTCATTCTGTCCTTAGTATGTATGAACAACTGCACGGACTAGTTAAACAGCGAGAGCGTAATATTTGTCGACGATCTTAGATGTAGAAAATCAATAATGTAAACTAATGGAACGCATTATCAAAAGACACTTGATGAAATATCTGGAACAGAACAAAATAATGTGTGATGCCCAACACGACTTTCCTCCAGGGCGCTTCTGCTTAACGAGTGTTCTTTACTCGCACGAGAAATGGACACGAGCTACCGATAAGGGTTTTCCAGTAGATGTCATATTTTTTGACTTCAAGAAGGCCTTTGACAGTGTCCCACACAGGCTTATTTTACAGAAGATCTGGAATTTTAAGAATTCAAGGAAGAATGTTTAAGTGGATCAGTAGTTTTCTGTCCTCCAGACTACAAAGAGTTGTCGTTAGTAATTCTACCTCGGAATGGGTAAAGGTGGAAGGTGGTGTTCCACAGGGTTCTGTCTTAGGCCCAGTCCTCTTCCTGATTTATGTTAATGACTGCAGCAGCGAAGTGAATTGCGAGGCTCTCATGTTCGCGGATGACATAAAAATATGGAGTGAAGTCAAGTGTGATGATGACGCAGAGAAGTTGCAGTCGAACATCAACAAACTGTGTGCTTGGTCGAACAGATGGCTTTTGAAGTTTAACGTGTCCAAATGCGTGGTTTTGCACCTGAACACCGGCCGCAATGCCTCTCCCAAGCACCAGTACTATATTGACGGCACGAGGTTAGAAACTGTGGAAAGGCACAGAGATCTGGGTGTATGGACGACCACAAATCTATCGCCATCAGAACACTGTAGAAAGATGGTCCAGAAGGCAACTAGTGCTCTACACTGGATCAGACGTGCATTTAAAATATTTCCTCCCTAACTTTTCGAAAGACTCTTCGGTGTCTTTGTAAGACCTCATCTTGAGTATGGAATGCCAGAAGCTTCACCATGGATGAGGAAGGATATCAACTTACTCGAACAGGTGCAAAGCAGAGGGACAAATATGGTCGACGATCTAAAGCATTTGTCTTATCAGGAGAGGCTGGATTTGCTTGGCCTATTCCCTCTCTCTTATAAACAAATAAACTGCAGTCTACTCCGGACGTTCCGGATTGTTCGCGGCCAGAGTTGCTCATTAAGAGCAGAGGACTTCTTTGAGTTCGCCCGCACAAACCAACTACGCGGCCATGCATACAAAGTCGGGAATGAGCGCACGCGTTTAAACCGACGAAAATTTTCATTCAGCCAGCGGGTTGTCAGGCCGTGGAACTCGCTTGCAAGCGAGATGGTGACGGCCGACACAGTTTGTGCGTTTAAAAGAAAACTTGCTCGTCTAGTTTTCGACAGAAATCGGTTTGTACAGCATGAGTATGCACAGCCAGTTTTGTAAAATGTGTCACATACAATCTTCCGCACTAATTTACAGTGACCCTATGCACTACCTTATGATTACGATTGAGCTGTGACCCAATCACATTTTAAATGCTTGCAATTTTATTTAATTTTTGAGTATGAATATGCGAAAGCACTGTACATAAATAGGTTCATCAAGGGCTCTGCCTGTAAACCTTCAATATATACATATATAGGCAGAATAGCATTACCGACAAAGACAAAGGAGACTGGAATGGCCATTTCTGGCTTATTAGCCGTCGTCAGCCAGCCATACCCAAGCCCGAAGTGTGGAACACCCGAGCCTCGAACTCGCGACCTGTTTGTTTAGAAGTCAACGCCCGACAAGGCAACGGGCTCGTGGCCCGGTGAGTAGAGGCGTTGACTTCTAAACCAACAGGTCGCGAGTTCGAGGCTCGGGTGTTCCACACTTCGGGCTTGGGTATGGCTGGCTGACGACGGCTAATAAGCCAGAAATGGCCATTCCAGCCTCCCTTGTCTTTGTCGGTAGTGCTATTCTGCCTATATATCATGCGCCGCTGTGCGGCTGCTGGTTGGGCTCGAGAGAGAGTCCATAAGGCACAACGTAACGAGTGAGTTCCGTATGAACGATCGGTGAGCGCCCCCTAACATTATATATACATATATATAATAGAAGTGGAAGTGCTGGAGTTAAAAAAATCATTTGACACATTTGCAGTGTGGTGGGATAAGTGCTGTCACAATCTCAATTTCAACATATCTTAAGCCATTAAATTATAATACAGCAACAGGAAGTCGAGATTTGGGCATTACTGTTTCATCACATGTCACCAACTCGAGTTAATAAACGAGCTAAGAGACCTCCCGAACTGTCGACTCACGGCGCCGAAGTATCAAAGCGGGCTATGCGTATGCTGGACGATGCCAGATAATCATCCTTAGGTCTGCCAAAGGGCTTTTCGATCGAGTATTTAGAACATTTGTTTAGTCAACGTTAGAACACTGCTTTCAGGCTTAGTGAGCCTGGACGAAAAAAGACTAACACTTTTGGAGAAAGTAAAACGCACAACAACCAAGCTAGATAACGGATCAGGCCCCTCAACTTTCAAAGAACGACCACAAATACCCAAAGTATTCTGCTGTCTTATAGATTATATGGAGAGGATATGATCATTACCTATAGAATCTTCAATGAACTTGGACGTAATCCTCAGTTTCGTGAATTTCGTACTGGCACGGACTACCAGGTTTCAAGGCCACAGCTACAAAAACTAAAGTGTGGGTTCGATTCTTTTACCAGCAGGCGGTCAAAAATGGAACAGATGCCAAATTTTGTTGTTTTGGAGGAAAAGTTGGAGATACTAGAATGAAGACTTGATAATTTTATATTTGATCACCATATATTTGGTCGATATCCATGACTGAGCTAATGCGTCCAAAATATTATGCAAACGTAAAAATGTATCCTTTACTCGTACACCTGTAGTGAGGGGTTTCCAATGTTGTGCCTACCTCCTTTACATATGCTGGGAGATGCGGAATTATAACCTAAAAAACTGATATAAATTAACCACGAATGACGTTGTTGCCGTCTTCAGATTAGTCGTGTGATCGCAACGGCGGGCATCCAGTAGGTTCATATGGCAACAAATGCCAACTAACTCATATAATAGAAGGTCTACTGTAGGCTTCTCATCTTTGGGACTTAAGCGAAAATAGTGCAATCCCAGTTTAAGAACGCCATGTTACTGTCTTTTCTGACAAACTAGCGTGCTATATGACTTACTCCGGAAAAATTAAACGACAGTTCGACAGTCGCGCCCGACGATGTCGCCTCGTGCTCCACAACAAGGTAAAGCAGGCACGGTGAATTGCGCGTGAATTATTTAACAGCAGGAGTAGGACTGCGCAGCGTCTACCGCACGTTCTCCCCCTCCTCCTCCTCCTTTCTCTGAGCCCGCTATCAAGACAGAGTCAAGAAGACCGGAGCGGAGAAGGGCAAAGTTGGATGGTACGGTGACGTCCGCACCTTGGCGATCCACCTCACACTCCCTGGTCTACACAGCAAATCACCAGGATTTAAAACAGCAACAAAAACTAAAAAGGCTACCGCGGCCAAACTCGCATTTGGGCGTGCCGTCACACCTGACTGTGATCCCACTGAGTGGCAGTGCCATACTGACCACATTAAGATGGAGCCATTGAAGCCTGACTCTTAGACCTCCAGGCGGCCGCTCCACGCAAACACACAACACTGGGCCGACTGCAAGGTCCAAAGTTTCCCGTCAGTTGGCAACCCTCTAAACCACAGCTTTATGCGCTCCGTGATAGCTTTAAGTGCGTCAGATTGTTTATAGCGAGGAATATACGTTGTGTACTGGACCTCACCCTCCCTTTCTATTCCCAGACCTCAGCCGCTGTCCGGGTGGGTCATTTGACAGTTTCGAGGAATGGACGCGGTGGCTGACATATCTATTGACATTGTCTGCGCGCGCCGCATGCACGACTTGGCCCTCCGAACACAAGCAACAGGATTTCACACAGCGGGGATTGGGCGGCGTACTGTAGCGGCACAGCAGAGAGAATATGTGCAGCATGTGAGCTACAATCGCCAGGCCAAATTCCATGTTTGAAGGGAGAAGACAAAGGGGACCAGAATAAGGGATTTATTGTACACAGAAGCCGGTGTTGTCCTCTCAGGCGACAGTGGCCACTGGCGAAGCCAGGGCTGGTGTTGACTGCGTCCAGTCAGGCCTGAGAGTCCCTGAGACAGTGGCGGCAGCCGCTTTTGTAGGCTTGTAGGCCAAACTCAAGTGGCGGCCAGTCAGCGTGCGTGTTGCATTTGCCGAGGGGTGGAGTGCCAGTGGCTTGAGTTGTTGGTTGCAGGGGGTGGCGTCTTCAAGTGGCACATAGGTAGCCGCGACGCTGTGTGGACGCAATTGTGTCCGAGCTGAAGTCGGTCGGGTGGCTTCAGGTCAGCGCGTCTGGAACGGCTCGCTGCAATGGATGAATGACCTTGAGGCAGCGAGGTCTGGAACAATGACGATAGACCGGTCATGATGTCTGTCTGTTACAGTATATCTCACATGCTTGAGGATGCCCTAGGTCACGTTGGAAGTGGCCGTTTCAGCCTGACGCTCGGCCCACCAGTCCGTCCCACCACACAAACACACACACAACTGGGCAGGCTGCATGCAGTGAGTTGGGACGTCAGTCAGCAGCCTTCCAGGCTACAGAGCCTGGTGCACCGTGATATTCTTTGACTCGCATCACACATACAGCAGAGGGGCCGAATAGAGCCAGAGTCGAGACGTACGCTTCCCACTTGCGTGGAAGGCGGAAAATAAATGCTCGTGGTGGATGGTGATGTTGTGTGATGTAAGTGTTGGTGGAGAAAATGGGATGGTTTGGCATAGCCAGCGGTTGTCTACTGCAGGATTTCGCGAATGCGTATGTGGTCTAACAGGTTCTTGCGGTGGGTGTATGTGCGGGTGCAGGGAGGGCAGTTGAGGCGGATGCGTCTGGTGTATGCTGGAGCTCCAAGCACTGGTTCGTCAGTCTCTGTGCGATGGATTTGCAATGAGGACAGGTATGAACCGAGTCCACATCGCCGACATCGACGGTGAGGAGGTTAAAGTTTGTTGGTGCGTCAGAATCGTGTGCAGTGATGGTGGGTACAGGAACCGCCACTGCGGACGTGGAGGCAATGGAGGATGAGGATGGTAGTGAGGGTGAAAGAAAGCGGTCAGCGCTGATTGCCGACGTGGGGGGCAAGGCAAATATGGACCGGGGATATCGGGTGGTGCCGACCGGGTGCTGAAGTTGATACAAAGGTGTCCAATAAATCCAATTGGTGCCAGGAACGTCCGTTGACAATACAGGAGGGTTGGGGACAGTCAAGCGTTGGCTCTGAGAGGTGGGTGCAATTGAGATTTGCGAGCCTCACTTTTGGCTTAAACGGCCGTGAAGCGGTTGGCTCCGCAAATCGCTGCATCAGTCTTCCCTACCCACCTCGTCGGGCGGGATCTCCCCAGTTGGCCGGGTTGATCTGCGGACGTTTCAGTGAAATCCTTAGAGTGTCCTTGTATCGACGGACTTAGCCTCCTTGTTGGCGAGAATCTGTGACAACCTCTCCATCGAAAAGTCATTTGAGTAACCGCTCGTCGTCCATCCGCACGAAGTAGCCGCTTCAGCACAGTTACAGTTGTCTCGGCATGGCGTAGATTCTGAGGATTCCTGTCCGCTCCAGTACGTAAATGTCGGGGATCCAATCCTGCCACCTCAGCTTCAATATCCGTAGATGAAAGCTGAGGTGGAATTGTCCGCATCTTCATGCTTGCTTCTTGTACACCGTCCAGGTCTCCCCTTCATACAGCAACGTCGGCAGTATGACCGTTTCGTGCATCTTTAGTTTGGTGCTGAGGTGGAGACCGTGTCGATTTCAAACTGTATTTCGCAGACGGCCGAAAGCTAGACTGGCTTTGGAAATCTGGCGGGGCACATCATCGTCGATCTTAATGTTGAGGCTGAGGGTGCTGCCCAGGTAGGCGACGTTTCCCATGACTTTCAGTTGGACACCGTTCATGTCGATTTGGGGTGCGACGTAGGCAGAGTCGTGTAGCGGTTAATGCATGACCACCATCTTCTCCGTGTTGATGATTGGGCCGAAGTTGTCGCAGGCGGCGATGAAGAAATCCATGCTCTTTTGCACGTCTCTTACGGAGGGGGCATTGAGAGAGCAGTTGTTGGCGAAGAGAAGTTCATGGACGGAAGTTGTGGATACACGCGGCTGGAAGTGCATCGGTCGCTTGTTGAAGAGTTGACCGTACGTCCTGTAGGTGAGGCCGATCCTAGGACGCTCGTTACGATAAGCGTCCATTAACATGGCAGTGAACATTAGAGTGAAGAGGGTGAGCGCGAGGACTCAGCCCTGCTTTACTCCGTTGGTCACAACGAATATCTCGGAGAAGGTTCTATTTCCCGTGATGCTTGCCGTCATACCATCTTGGAGCTGACGCACCATCTGAGTGAATCATTAGAAACCACCGAATTTCCGCATGATTTTTTGCAGTCCATCGCGGTTCGCCGTATCAAGGGCCTTTTAAGATCCACGGAAGCAGAGTAGAGGCGGATCCGCCTCTTATGACACTTCTCCTGCAGTTGGCAGGTTGCGGAGATCACGTCGGTGATCCCACGATGACGTCAGAAGCCGCACTGGCTTTGTGGCAGGAGACCCCGTTCCAGTTGGCTGTTCAGAGGGCTGATAAGAATCTGAGCAAAGATTTTTCCGGTCATATCCAATAAGGAGATGCCTCGGTGGTTATCTCAGAGCTGACGATTACCTTTCCGCTTATAGAAAGGGAAGATTGTGGGGTCCTTAAAATCCCGCGAGACTTGTCCTGGACCCCACATCGCAGGAAGGAGCGCTGTCGGATGATCCGTGAGTTGGGTGCCACCGTGATTGTGGATCTCAGTAAGGATCACGTCTGCTCCGGGTGCTTGCTCGATGGAACGCTATTGCATGGCCCTGATGGTTTCGCGTAGAGCGGGCAAGAGGTCGAGGTCGGCGTTGACTTCCACTTGAGGTAGACGGCTTCGGAGATGGTAGAAGAACGACTGAGAACGCCTGTGAAGTGTTCGGTCTATCGGCGCGGAGAAGAGAAACATTTGCTTTGGCTGTCGAACCGTAAACAGGTTTGATCGCGGAGAAGTAGTTCTTCTATCAGTAGTGGTCCGCATATCCTTAGATCTACTCGGCTATGCAAGTCGTCCAGGCCTCCTGCATCTCCCGCAGCCGCTGTTACGCAGGGCGGTAATTGCGGGAAAAGGTTGATTTGTTTGCGTCGGTAGGGTGGTTAACGCAGGCTTTGTGTAGAGGGGTCTTCTTGGCGAGCAGTCTGCTGATGGCGGCGTGGCTGTCATCGAACCTGTCCTTGTGTCGGCGGCGTGCGCGACCGAGGACAGTCAGGACATTTGACTGGACTGTGTCCCGCAACTGGCACCATCGGTGCTCTACGCAGGCGTTCTTGCCAGTGGCGGTGGCGATGACCAGAAGGTTGTCAAACTTTTCATCTAGTTCACTGCTGAAATGGAAATGGTGAGCAGGCGACGAGAAAAAAACGATATAGAGATTACCTGGGGATCGCTCATCTCGAGGTCTCCAGCGATGCTGCAGGCAAACTCGCATGTTGGAGATGGCAAGTCAATGATCGGTCTAATCGTCGGCACCCGGAATCTCCTTTGTCATCAGCACGTCCTACTGGTCTCGCCTCCAGACGCGGACATATTTGAGCAGGTGTCAGTATTGCAAGCAAGGATGAATCCACGTGGCCCTCTCTCGCTTCATGAGGCAGAGGAAGGTGCTGTCCAGGATAGGGCGAGGTTATGCTCGGGTCTGTAGGAGGACTAGGCCATTTCCGTTGGATCCGTTGAAGCTATGGGAACCCAGCTCTCCTCTCCTGGCGGCGCAGTCTATGCCGACGCGGGCATTGAAGTCACCAAGCACAATCAACTTATCCGTCTTCGGCACAGTTGCCAGGAGGGCGTGCATTTCCTCTTGGAAGTTGCTCCTTGCCGCGTCATGGCCGGTCATCGGGGAGAAAGTGTAAGTTGGCGACGGTAACGAATTTGCTTGCATGAAGAAGCAGACGGAGGCTTATCAGGCGATTGTTGACGCCCTGCGGCACACAAGGTAGTCGTCCCACGATGTTGTTCCAGATAGCAAAGGCGACTCCCACGTCCCATCGCTCTGCCTTGGGGCGACTGCAGCAGAAAAAGGTGTAACCGGTACCCACTCTCTCCTGTTGACCTTTTTTGGAGAACCGGGTCTCGCTGAGTGCGGGGATGTCCACCCTGTAGCGCGCCAGTTTCAGAGCCCCTAGTGCCGTCTTCTATTCCGGTCAATTTCTCCTCGGATTGTCTAAAAGGAAACAAACATCGCGGGCTGCCAGAGTTATCAAGCTCACCTTATCAGCCTGTGGGGCTGAGCGACGGGGGAGAGGATGAGGAAGAGGAAGAAAGTATTGTTTCTTATGTGATTATCTCGACCGTGTTTTTGAGTCTGTTACTCACGGTCGACGTGCAGAGGACCTGGTCTCAGCACCTGTTTAAGGCACATTTACAAGCCTCGCCCCCCTCACGGGTGTGAGCAGTGCTCTCCCTGAATAAGGCTGCTCAGTCATCCTAGATGGCTGCCAAAATCAACTATGTGTTTAGTGAAAGAACGGCCCGAGTTAGCCTGGGCTGCCAAGGAGATCACTGTCGCCCTCGGCGTAGGACTTTTGAGTGGGGGAGGAATGAGCGGAGGAGGGAGGAGCGTGGATAGACAGGAAGCAGAGTCTCCTCTCTCTCTCTCTCTCTCTCTCTCTCTCTCTCTCTCTCCTTGTTAACCGATTGCTGAAATATAGACGGTGAGCAGTGAAACTCAATAGAACGGCATTTAGCTTACAGCAAGGACAGACACATACAAGCAGACAAAGGCAAGCAAGCAAGAACAACCAAAAAGCAAATGCAACAGAGCAATATCCGGCTGCTGGTCGGATTTGTGTTTAATCGCTTCCCTAGACAATGCCTGTAAACTGGCATTTAATAAATTAAATGAAACTAAATTAAATTATCTGGATGGTCACTTAGCATGTACGCTCCGGCGGGGTTGCAGACAAGGCTTCATCTTGTGGGTGGCCATGGGGCGATCCGTGGGACTACCGACCATGGCGTAAGAGTAGAGAGGAGGGTAAAGAAAGTAAGGCGCGATGGGGAAGGGCAGAGAATAGGTGCGAACGAGAAGTAAGACGACGATCTTCCAGCCAGGGTGTCAGCAGCTTGCTGAGTGTTTTTAACCTCCTGCGGAGTTGCAAACGTAGCATCATCTCAGAGAAGCCGACGGGGTGATCCGTCCGGTCATCGATGGTGGAAGGGGAGCTGAGTTTTCGTGTGCGCAGATGCGCGCTAATAACCTCGCATGGTTTAGCCCGCCAGTCGAGAGGACTGCCGGAGTGTGGCTGCTAGGCAGAGCCTAGACACGACGAAACACAGGTAAGAGTTGGATGTCAGTTAATGGACGCTAGACGCAGTCTACATCTGCAGGCAAGTTAGCAACCTACTACGACCATCATGTGAAGCCCCAGCTGGACATCCCTACACCAATTCCGGACGATATACGTAAAAACTGACCCTCTTTGACTTACGTACACATGACAGCGTCCCTGATGAGCCATAACAAATCTTCCCACTAGCATATCTTGCTGAGGCATTTTCAGAAATCCGAATGCCGGTCACAGGTCGGATATCCATCAGCGGGAGAATGTGTTTAGAACCTTATTTGGCGTATCCACCAGCAAGCGACAATTACATTTTAGATCTGATTTCCACCAATGATATCGGTTCCCTTTTCGCTAATATTCAACACGACCATTACGAATGTTATCGTGTGAAAAGTCACCATTACGTTACGTCTGTACATCCAAAGAATCAGTATGTTTCGATTCTACGCCGGTTTTGGTCCCGTGAACGCCGACTTAATGGACTATTTTAAATCATTAAATTGGCATGACTTTCTCTTCAATAGTGATGCTCCAGTCCTTAATGAATTAACGAGGATTATTTCTTAGGGCGTTTTCAAATTTTCACTGCTCATATGTCTAAGGTCCAATTTTTCTGGCTACACTGTTCTTCGTGTCCTTTATAGTGCACCAAATAATTTGAAAGGGCAAACTCATGGCGTATCCATTAGTTTTTAGGTCAAAATTAAGTGTCCTCATTGATGATATTGACAAAGTTTACTTGGTTATTGTTACCTTTCAAATCATCTTACTACCGAGTCCAAACTAATTTATTCAACGAACCAACGGCCACATTGATTTTTAAATACCACTACTGGCTCCTCTTATCTAATTCGGATACAGCTAAGTTGTTGGGTTATCTATTTTCGCCCTGTCTTTTCAGCGGATTCTTGTCCGAAACACTGAAGATGTATACCACCCTTCTAGCCTCCAAACTACGATCCCGCCTCATCATAAATGAAGATTAAGGAATGTATCATATTTTGTGCACAGAAAAGCAGCCTGGAAGGACATTTTTCATCAAAGTTCTTGCTTTCCGACTGGCCAGTTAGGTTTCTGGATGTATTTAGCATGGTTTTTTGGCGGAAGACCACGCGCGACGTGCGGTCCGCAGATCCATTACCTCATCGCGTTCCTTTCCAATGGGAAGTGGTAGTTAGGTCAGCATAGGTCAGTATATTCTAAGGGTAATAAGCAATGCCTTTTAAAACCCTACTGAAAACGGCTCATGCGATATTTAACTTTAAGTTATTTTGTTATTTTACTCTTATCAACACATCCGTCAGGGTATCACGAGGAAGTATTTTTATTAAGCCGGCTACACGATCGGACGCAGTCCGCTGGGACATTAAACACTGGGGCGGTTATAAAAGCGTAGAGGGGAGAATGTGACCCTGAGACCTCTTCGCTGCACGACTAGACTGCCACTAAAAGGCGCAAACGGAGGATTAACGCCACGATCGTCAACAGACCATTTGGAGTCGAGAAGAGGAGTTGACATCAAGATCCGCTGGGTGAGGGTCCGAAATGTCGGGGGGAGGGTGGAATTATAATGAGCATCAGCGATCGGCAGCTTAAAGTGTGCACGTCAAACTAGCCACAAAGCGTCGGGAATCGAACCTGGGCAGTCTATCGGCATGTCCAACGTCACTACCACTTGGCCAGCGACGCGCTAAAAGTCGCTTCCGTGGCCGGGAATTGAACCGGGGTCTTTCACGTGACAGGCGGAGATACTCACCACTATACTATGTCGGACGGCCGCGGTCTGCAGTTTTTATTTATCCTCCTTGTGAATAAAGACTACTCGTAAGACATGAGTGACCACGACGAAATCCAT